AGATGATGATCTATGTATGAAGAACTATTGTTCTTTTGGAGGTGTCATGCTACCTTACTTCTTCATGTTTCCTGTGTCCCTACATCGACATTTCCCTATCTAATATAATAATCTCTTCCTCTTTGTGGAGTAGTTTTATTGGAAATGAGTTAATGACTTATGTGGATTACAGGGTATCACGTAGATTGTCATTTGGTCTTTGGTTCTAGAAGAGCCCAGAAGTGTAACCTCTGAGTGATTTCTTTTCATCAATGTCAGCTGTTTCTGTGACACCATAGTCTAGTCTATTGCAGTTTGTAGAGGTAATGTTTGACTTTGAGATGAATATGGGCTTTCTATGCTGTGTATCTTTAGTCTTCAGAGTTTGTTTTCAGTTACACTAGGGGTTGTGATAGTCAAAGCATGGTTTTAGCCTGAGTGATGTTGTGGCTTGTGGCACTAACAGCTGTGGCTCTAGGACTATGTGATGTGGATGGACCCTTCCCCAGTTTCTGCTGGGAGAGTGCAACTGGTTCTGGAACTTATCACACCAAAAGCCCTAGTACCTAAACTTGGGGATGTGAACTGAACCCTGCTCCAATCCCACAGGGTGACTACAAGGTAAACAGATTTTGTACTGACAGGTATGGGTCCAGAGAGGTGGAATGCATGCAGGTTCATCCCTAGGTAGCACCAGGTAGATTCCAGTAGGTTTGAGAAAATTAGTACTGATTGTTATAGTTTAAGTGAGAGTTCCCATCTCCTGGCTTACTCTCCAAATGCCTGCAGCAGCTGCAGATAGACCAGGCTGAAGCTAGGAACAGGAACTCAATCCAGGTCTCCCACATGGGTGGAAAGGATCCCAACTACTTGAGCCATCACCTGCTGCCTTCCAGAGTGTACACCAGCAGGAAGCTCACATAAGGAGTACACTTAAGACTCAAACCTAAAAACTGATATGGAAGTGGGGCATCCCAACTGGCATCTTAACAGGCAAATGCTCACCCTGAAAGGGGGTTATTTATACCTTGAGCTATTATTATTGAACTGTCCTTTTAATTCTGTCACTTTTTGCTTTGTATATTTGGGGTTTATTCTATTAAGTACATACATACTTATAATTATTGTTATCTTTCAAATACATTGAAAATGTTACTAGAGTTTAAAAAGTTTCCTATATACCTCTAGTATTTTTGTTTTAACGAAATCCAGTCATTTGCAACAAAATGGAGGAATCTGGAACACATCATGCTGAGTGAAGTAAGCCAGTCCCAAAGGGACAAATACCATATGTTCTCCCTGATCGGTGACAACTGACTGAACACCAAAAAGGAAACCTCCTGAAGTGAAATGGACACTATGAGAAACGGTGACTTGATCAGCATAGCCCTGACTGTTAATGGACAACTTAATACATTATCCCTCTTAGAATTTTTTTTTTGTCTGTTCTACTTAATATGACTGGTTTAATTCTGTAATTATCACACAGTTATTCTTAAGTGTTGAAAATTAACTGAAATGTGATCCCTGTTAAACATAAGAGTGGGAATAAGAGAGGGAAGAGATGTATAATTTGGGGCATGCTCGGGCT